TTATATTCACTACAACAGAAAGAGTGGTTCTCACTGTGATATATAAATCTGCTTTGATTTCTAAAATCTGGAGCATTGAAATTCAGAATGTGGAAAATTGCTGCAAACTAATTGACATTTCCTATATTACTGCATCTTTGTATCCAAAGGATTTTATTAATAAGCCATCTATTGAAGGACATGATTACATTCTGGGTTTCTTTGAATCCATCTAATTAAATGGAACTGGTTCTGGGGCACAGTTTTTCTGTATATGTTTATGGTGAGTGATTCTTTTAAGGGACCCTAGGTTTTTTATCTTTGTTGTTAGACTTTGAAATCTTTCATAATAAGATTGAAATCCAAGGGTTGAGTTAAAGGAGAATTACTGCCCTCAGGGGCTTTCAGAGAAGGACAATAATTTCAATAGTGTATACTCTTCTTTTATATCCATTCTTTAATCAATTTTCTAATAAGCAATGACTGCTATCTATATTATTATAACATGGTCCGGGATAATTTAGAATTAGACTGGTCTTTTATAAGATAAATTTAGAAGAGAATTTTCATATTTACTGATGTTGCATAACTCACTTTATTTAATGATGGCTTTGCTCTTCTTTTTCCTCCTCTCATGGCAGTATGTATTCAATTCCCATCAGGATTATTTGTCTCTTTTTTGATAGCAGTAGTACTAGTTTCCGATAAATAGAAGACTATGTCCAGAAATGGTCCATGTGTTTATAAAGCCCATATATTTAATTTGTAGTCCCACCGCGTAACCTGATGATCGATATCCAGAAAGACACTGCCGTGGAAGGCGAGGAGATTGAAGTCAACTGCACTGCCATGGCCAGCAAACCAGCCACGACTATTAGATGGTTCAAAGGGAACAAAGAGCTCAAAGGTAAGATACAGACTGCTCTGTACTGAAGTAGTTAGTTGGTACTTAATTTAGCAAGTGGGCCTTTGTGGAAATTATAGACAAACATGCCCCTGAAGCAAAAGTATTAATTTAGATATAAATTTATAATCAATTCCTAAAGACATCTGAGGCCATATCATGACAGTATTTTCTTCTATATCAGTGCTTGGTCTGTGGTTTGAGGGTTCATGCTGATGTCTGTTGCTCTATTCAGATGTCCAGAAAGAACTGTAACCCTGTAAACTGGGTTTAATGCCCAGTTTTATGCCAGGAAGAATTACTGCTAGGGCTATCACCTCAGCTCAAGCTTAGTCTGTATCTCAATTCTCATAGCTTTTAACCTGTCTGGTGTGCTGACTCAGTGTGGGTCAAAACCCAAATTTTCAAGGTACACATTTTTGAAAATTCCAAGTCATTCTGCAACTGATTATTTCATGAGCTATGTTGACCATATGCTTTTCAAGAGGGGTTGCAAGTGAACTAAGAGTTTTATCTTAAGTATAAGGTTACGAGGGACTACCTTTCTTATGCAACCCAGTATATCATTCAGTTGCCCATTTCTCCAGCCTGTCTTCTCAAAGGCTCTGACTTTGCAGTGTCAGTACAGTGTAGCAGGCTCCAGGTGCCCAGTGTTCCCAAGTTTGACTCCTAGAACCTCAAACACCTGCCACCTCAGCTGTTGCATTGGCTGAAGCACATAGCCCAGTGATGGGGAATTTTTAGAGCTTTCAGTGATGCAAACAGCCTGCTGCAGCATGTGTACCATAGTTTCATCACCACTTCTATAGCTTGTATTCTCCTTGGCCATTTTTCATCAGTTATCCTAATCTTCTTGTATGTGCCAGCTCTCGGAGTCCTTTCTTTTCAGAGTTACCCTGAAAGTAGAGCCCTAAACGAGACCCTGGGGCTGAAATCCTCTAGTTATTTGACAAAAAACTAGCTGGTAGCCTCACTGTCCTCTAAAATTGAATAATAATACACACTGTGGGATTCTCGTGAACATGAAATGAGTGAATACTTATAAAACATTTAGGTAGCACCCAGACCAATAAGTGCTACATCTGTGTTTGTTAAATATACAAACAGTATTAAGAAAAAAGAATAAGCCCTTTTAGAATGGTGATATAGAAATCTATATCTGGAAACAGAGAAATCTATATATAATGGCTTGAGTTTCCAAAGTTTGTTCTGTTTTAAGCCCCTATTTCCTAGGTATAGTTTTGGAAGGAAGGAGTTTCTCGTTTCCCCTCTGCCTTTCTGTCTAAGTGAATTGAGCCATTAAATGTGTGCCGTTAAGTACAAAACATTAAAAGAAAGTTAATGGTGTGCCATGTTCCTGGGAGTGCTGGGTTCAGGAAGGGACTGCCTTGGCCTATTCATTCCATCCGGAAGCCTCCTCCCCCTTTTCTGGATGTTCTTGGATGTGTTTCCCATCTGGCCCGAAGCCCTAAGTCTTACTTTGCTCTAGCCCACTGCCATTGCATCTCTGTGGCCTTCCAGAAGTCTCAGAGTTTAAACATTTCAATTACAATTTCAATTATGTAAATCCATTTAGTTACTTTTCCTCTTAATTGTTGATGATGGGGGTAGGCAAAAGGGGTTGTTTATATCTCGACTGCTGATTGAATTACTTAGGGGATTTGGATGACGTCCTGGAATTTTTAAACAGCATGACAGCCTCATAGATATTTCAAGTTCAGACTTTTGTAGGGTTCAAAAAAAAAAACCACTTTTCCTTTTCTCCTCCCGAATACCTTGAGCTGCCAGATGTCAAAATGGCTGAACTTAGCAGCTGATTTATAGGAGATTTTAAGATAGAAGAAACAAGTCATATATTTCAGTAAAAATAGTGCATTTGAGGTTTAAAGAGATCTTAAATACCATTCTCTACGGTTGAGAAGTTAGAAATTAAAGAAGAATTATTTTATCATGTATCCACAGATTTCTCTCTCTCGGAGGGACTTTCATCATATTTATTAAAATAGCAATGTTGGATTGTGCGGAGTGGGAAGAGGATCTAAAAACAGACTGTTGGAAAATTACCCAGCTCTGGTTGCTTGATATGTTTTCTGTCTTACAGGCAAATCGGAGGTAGAAGAGTGGTCGGACATGTACACTGTGACCAGTCAGCTGATGCTGAAGGTGCACAAGGAGGATGATGGGGTCCCCGTTATCTGTCAGGTGGAGCACCCTGCTGTCACTGGCAACTTGCAGACCCAGCGGTATCTAGAAGTACAGTGTGAGTACACAGGCTTCAATCCGAGGGCACAGTGTGGCACTTGCTGAGAGCCTCTGTACTGGATGCATACATCCATTTTATGTAGCATCCATAGAATTTTTTTCCTGTTGTCTAGGTAGAAAAATAGTCAAAGGATTGTCTTAACGAAATACTACCATGTTAGAAAGTGCCAATGTGAGTGTGAAAGTACTACATTTAACCCAAATGTGAAACTAAAATGATTCAATCTGCTTTAACATATGACTTAAATTTAATTTCTTTGAATATGAAGACTGTCATCATTTGTGCCAACTTCAAAATCTAGGGTAATTTCCTCCTCTTTTAATCCCACCATGAGCACTGGAGTTTTTTATAGGAGATATTTTATTCCTTTTCCACATCAGCATTTTGTTTTAAATTGCCTGTCCTCCTCTATTTTAGCTGAAATTACAATGGTAAGTTGAAAGTCGAACTCTGGGATCAGGGCCACGTGTTGATGACTTCATCAGTAAAAGCTGGACTGTAGTGAATGAGGCTGTTTCCTTAAGGTGCCCTATAGACTAAATATGTTCTCATCCTCTCCTTTAAATCCTTCTGCTTCAAAAAAACAAATAAGATTCTACATAAAAACATTCTCTTGGCCAAGTTATAACCAAGTAGCCAATTTCATCCAAGGGTTCTATAACTTGGTTTCTGAATATTTCTAGGTGACATCTGAATATGCACAGTGAAAATGTTGTAAAAGTTTGATTAGGATAACAGCCATTGGGGATCTAATGAAGAAAAACCATTATCCTCTGTGAATCCTTGCATTAGTGTCCTATGGCCACTATTATTAATTACATTACCAGAAACTTGGTGTCTTTACAGCAACAGAAATTCATTCTCTCACAATTCTGGAGGATAAAAGACCAAAGTTGCACCTCATTCCTTCCAAAGGTTCTAAGGGAGGATCCTTTGTTGCCTCTTCTGGTTTCTAGGGGCTCCAAGAGTACTTGGCCTTTGGCTTCAAAGAGTCACTCTTCATCGTGATGTGGCTTCTCGTCTCTGTGTTGCCTGTCAGAACCCTTGTCATTGGATGTAGGTCCCACTCAGACAATCCAGCATAATCTCCTCTTGAGATCGTAGGGTTAAATATATCTGCAGAGACATATTCTTTTTATTTATTAGACCACATTCACAAGCTCCCCAGTGGTTAGAATGCGAACATACCTTTGGAGGCCACCAGTATTCATTCTTTATCACATTTTGCCTGAACAAAATAAGGAGCAGAAAGAGTTATAAAAAGTTGTTTGTAAGAGACATCCCATCCCAACCTTTCCCTACTTGTTTAGCTTGGCTCAATTTAACATTACATAATGCAGGTTTTTCTTGTTAATTCATTTCATCTACTTCATTATATAGTTTCATTATGAGCATCATGCTTATAATTTTTATATCACTAAAACTATTGTGGTGTAATGTCCCTATAATGGGAAAACAGAAATGATCAGATATTATCTAAATTGGCAGATAGTAGATTTCTTGTGACTTTGTTAATATGTAATTCATTTAAGCAAACTTAATATCCATTAACTTTCCTTGTAGGGGCTCATTAGCTTTAATAATGCATTAGCTCCTTTGTGAGTCCTGAGCAGATATTCGCCCAGTTTCCACCCCTAAACTCTTTAAGTAGTCTCCCAGAGTATCTTTTAAATAGAATATACTTCCACTCACTACAAAATTACACTTCCAAATGCATAGTATTTCAAATGGTACACCTCCTGCCCTCTGGAAAACTAGATCATGATCCTTATAAACCTTGCCTTCCATATTTTCTGTATTCAAGAGAGATCTGTCCTTCCAAGAAAAGCAGTAAGGCTCTATATCTTAATACATTTTAACTTCAGTCTAACAAAGTACTGCTGGCTCTTGCCTGCAGGAAAGTGGCTTTAATTTAACACCTTCCAAAGTTGATGATGCACTTAGTGATCATTCCCAGCTCTTACCATGGCTTTTTGAGGGGGCAGAAGGGCAACCCTCTGTTCTTTTAGCCAACATAAGTTACCTCACAATTTATCCTCAATATTCTGTTTTTTTAATGTATGCAGGGAAAAATACTTTTTATAAAGGAAGGTTAAGAACTGCAGTTCTTTACACAAACATGAGTGAGAATTGAGGGTCTGGATTGAAATCCAGAAATAAGCCTGTCAGTGTTGAAGAAAGTCAGCTGATAGTCCGTTGCTATCTATTCCTAGAACACTATTAAGAACTTCACAGAGTCAGCTAGGAATTCCTCAGATTGCTTCTTCTTCGCACAGGATTGAATTGTCCGTGCCATCCTCTCAGCTTTCCCCTCCCCAAGCACCAGTAGCTACGCACCAACAGAAGCGCCCCCGCCTCTTCTACCGCACATCTGACACATCTGCCAGTGGTATGAGACTCAGCTCAGTTCTCTCATAGCAGGCATTTCTCGGAAGACAAGCGGACTGGATCTTGATGGCCATGAGGACAGAAGAGATTCTTAATGCATGCAAGCCTTAGAACAGTTTGTTCAGTACCTGGTCTACGTGGGTGTTTAATTATGGTGGATACCCTGTGAAGAGTGACATTATACTTGTATTTTAAATTAAACCAAACCCTTAAAGCTGGTCGTTCTTATTCACCAACCCCTGTAAAATTCTTGGATAGCTATAGACTTGGAAAAGATGAATAAAATCACATATTCACCACATTTTGGTTACCATATCCCTTTTGAGCTCTTCTGACGAGCTATTTGAAGGACACTTTATAAGACCTATTTTTCTTTCGGTCACTTTATTACCTTAATCTAACCCAACCTAAATAATAATATCAGTAAAACTGATTCATGTGTGTGTATGTGTATATAGCTATAGACTTGGAAAAGATGAATAAAATCACATATTCACCACATTTTGGTTACCATATCCCTTTTGAGCTCTTCTGACGAGCTATTTGAAGGACACTTTATAAGACCTATTTTTCTTTCGGTCACTTTATTACCTTAATCTAACCCAACCTAAATAATAATATCAGTAAAACTGATTCATGTGTGTGTATGTGTATATATATATATATATATATATATTGTGTAAAATATTTCATATCCTTTCAGTGATAAACATTATCACCAGGAAATACTAAGCCCCTCAAGATTCTATTCTGAGTAAATTAGACTCCCTTGAGGCAAATCTAACCAGATCTAATTTAATGCTGTTAAGTATGGTAGTTGGCTTAACCCTAGCTCATTTTGGGTAGTTAAGGTTTATGGCAACCTTTTTATATACCCTAGAATTAATGAATGTTAACCATGGATAAGGTTAAATGACAGGTGATATATCTACATTCTGTATAAATTGTATCCTTCTAAAAAAAATCATGTTAAAAGGAAATGAAATAGTGACAACCTAAATCATATGCCATTGAGGGCCAGGGATTTGGCTCCGTGGTTCTTCCACCTGCCTCACAAGTGCAAGGGCCTGAGTTCGATCCCTGGTACCAAAAAAAAAAAAGTTGTGCTTTAATAAATCATATGCCATTGAGTTTCCTTATTTAAATATGACTAAAAAAAGCAAGCAGGGATAAAAAGAAGGAAAGTGGGTCCAATTTTCCTCTTAAGATGGAGTATCTCCATAGTACATAGAAGACAAACAAGGCTTAAGCTGCAACTCAGAATTGCTTTTGTCTTGTGGATTCAAGTCATAATTAATTGAACAAGAATTTTGCAGTGTTTGTTAGTACTCTTATTTTTTGGTACCAGGAGAAATTGTTGTGCCCAATTATGTGAAAAATCATCCAGATGTGTATGCTGTCATACTTTTAATAATCCTTAAGTTTTTGGTGAGTACAGATATTGTGTAGTATGCGTTGAAGTGATTAACATCAATGTAATTTATCATCTAGAGATTTCTAAACATAAGTAAATGAGTTGTTTTGTTCAGCAAGGTGTTGACCCCTTCAGAACCAGTGAATTAAACCCCCCTTTTTATTATAAATATGAAAGGCACCACAATCAGCCAAGTGTTCAGTTATTTGATTTTCTGGGGCATTAGCCGCTCTTGTTTGTGACATTTCCCTGTTGGGTGCTCGTTTGCAAGCTCATTAATAAGGTTTTCTCATAGGAATGTTGCTGCGAATGAAGAACATACAGTAGGGCTCTTAGTTTCCTAGATTTCATTGTGAGACCCAGCAAGGGTACAGCAGCAGCACACAGTTAAAATGTTTAAAACAGAAAATAATTATGTTCTCGAGCTGGAATTCAGAGCTCTGCTTTCTTAGATGTTATGCACAGAACAGTTTTGCTTTTTAATGTTCTGAGCTATGTGACCCTAAAATCTCTCTGCATTTTTTCTGTGTAGGTGATATTGCCCAAATATACACCATGGTTGATTATAGCAGTGCGTGGTACAATTGTAGCATGGTTAGTGGAGCTTCCGATCTGAGGGAATGCACTCTTGTCAAATAAAGGCTTGTTTAAATGAGAACAGTTCGCTGTCTGTGCATTAAAAGAAAACTGTCTAAATAGCATCAAGGTGGCAACACATAGAGACATAAGCTGGGAATTCAAAGAGAAGCTGTGACCCTCAGTATGAAATTCAGATTGCTGTGCAGAAGGGAGGAAAGCTTACTCTGGACAGAGGAGAATTGGAAGCTCTAGAATTACTGCTGTGTGTCTTTGATTTCACCCTTCATAGCCTTGCTGTTTAAAATGTTTTGCAAAAATCCTCGTTTTGTCAGAGTTTTGTATATATTTGTAAAAGAGAAAAAAATTAAGATGAGTTTTGAGAGGGAGAATGAAAACAAAGACTCTTGAAATGGACACTTGAATGCCTTCTCTGCTTCGATTATCATCTGACAGTTAATCATGTATGTGGGCATCATTTTCAAAATGAGTTTTATTGACTGGATGTAGCCAGGTATTTTATTAATCCATATTCCTGTTCATCTATGGTCCAGAGAAGGGTAGGGATTTTTTTCTTCTTCTTCTTCTTCTTTCTTTCTTTCCCTCAACTGGGAGAAAA